GGGGGGGTACTTACCTCCTCCTGCTGCTTCCTCCTCTGCCTCCCCCCCCACGAGTATTGCGGGTCCGCCCCTTGTTCTTCCTAACTACAAAAGTTACAAAAGCATTCCTCTTGCTCCTTCTCCATAATACCTTACATTTATACTTCAGTTTATGTCATCTTTACATCACCTCCATTCCCACCGGTTATATAGCATGGCAACTCAGTACATCCAGTCATTTGCAGAAGTTTCTTAACATAGCTAGTAGTGTACTGCACATGTCTAAGAATATTTTCCCACACTCTTGGGGTCTTATCTATTGCTAAGAATCTGTGGTCAGCCGGCTGAAACTGCTTCCCAAGCTTGCCAGCTCCTAGGGTACAACATTCCTACGCAAGCAGCAGAAGCAGTGCTATAAAATGGTATTTGTCATGCTAAAGGACAATTTTCCCTTCACTATCACACAACAAAATTTACCTGACGGCAGTGAACCCTGTTTTACATCCCCTACTGGATGTTTGGACTGTGCAATTTCCTCCCCCCCCTTTTCTGTTCAGGTCTGTTGGCCCCCCCCCCCAATTTTTGGGATTTCTGAAAAATCCCAGACCCCCAATACCAGCAAAGTATTCGGATCCAGAATTTTTCAGAAATCTCAATTTTTTCATATCCAATAGACCCGAGGGGGGGGAACACCCCCCCCCGAAATAAACAACAACCCTGGAGTGGCAAAGCCACAAAACACAGCTGAGTGGCAGGAGCACATTACTCCTGCCTCTCAGCTCCCACCTGTCCCCCCCCCCCCCCCGCCGATTTCTTCTGCAGTCCCTTCTAAAGCAGCCTGATTTAAAGGGACTGCAAAAGAAAGTGGGAGAAACAGCTGAGAGGTGGGAAGCAGTCTCCCCACCGCTCCGCTGTTTTCCCCGATCTTCCCAGTTCCGGGAAATACCTGGAATTTTCCCAGGATTTTCCTCGTATACTTTTGAAATGCTGAAAAATACCCCCTCAAAATACTGGAGAAGACCTCCCACAATTACAATTGATTTCCAGGGGACAGAGGTCAGTTCACCTGGAGAATATGGCCACTTGGGAAAGTGGATTCTATGACACTGAAGTCCCTCCCCAAAACCCACCCTCCTCAGGCTCCACCCCCCCAAATCTCCAGGCATTTCCCCAGCCTGGAGCTGGCAACCCTAGTTTATTTATTTATTTATTATTCACATTTATACCCCGCCCTCCCCATAGGCTCAGGGCGGCTTACAGAGGCGAGGCAAAGCCTCACCATACTAAAAACATAAATACATAATAAATTTAAAAACATAATACATCTTAAATTCCTATACAAAGGAAGTGCTCAATGATGTCATAGTCCAAAGATGACGGATTGAATGTCCGAGTTCCAAGTTGCAAGTTGACGGCCAGGGTTTCTTCCATGTTCAGATGTTTCAAAAATACTCAGGGCTTCATCCAGCCCACCATGATGGTAGTATAGTGGTGGTGGGGCGGGGGGGCTCCTACTCAAAAGCCTGGTGGAAGAGCTCCATCTTGCAGGCCCTGCGGAACTGCATAAGATCCCGCAGGGCCCGGATCTCCCCTGGGACAGGCTGAATGTGGTCCCTTCTAGAGAGACCCATTAACAGCCTGGCCGCAGCATTCTGCACCAGTTGCAGCTTCCGGATTTGCGACAGAGGCAGCCCATGTAGAGAGCGTTGCAGTAGTCTAGCCTCGAGGTGACTGTCGCATGGATCACTGTGGCCAGGTCATCACGGTCAAGGTAGGGGACCAACTGCCGTGCCTGCCGCAGATGAAAAAAGGCGGACTTGACAGTGGCTGCCACCTGAGCCTCCATTGTTAGAGTGGAGTCCAGGAGCACCCCCAAACTCCGTACCCCAGACGCTGGCACCAAAGGTACCCCATCGAAGGTCGGGAGAGGGAGCCCCAACCCCGCCCCGGTCCGACTCAGGCCCAGGACCTCCGTCTTCGCCGGGTTTAGTTTCAATCGGCTCAGCCGGAGCCAACCAGCCACGGCTTCTAATGCCCGGTGAAGATCGTCGGGACTTGAGTCCGACCGGCCACCCAACATCAGATAGAGCTGGGTGTCATCTGCATACTAATGACACCCAAGCCCATAATTCCGGGCAATCTGGGCAAGGGGACGCATATAGATGTTGAATAGCATCGGGGACAACACTGCTCCCTGTGGTACCCCACACTCAAGGGGATACCTACGGGAGCGTTGATCCCCAAGAACCACCCTTTGTCCCCGACCTTGCAGGAAAGAGGCAAACCATTGAAGGGCAAGCCCCTGAATCCCCACGTCGGCGAGTTCTTGGGTATATTTTTGCAGTTTTGCTTGTTGAAAACCAGTAGTACCGTCTTCAGCAGAGTTACATCCTTCTACGTCCACTGATTTCAGTGAACTAAGAAGAGGGTGCCTCTGCTTAGGCTTGCCCTGTGGTAGTTTTAAATTCCATAAATATGCCAATTAGTTCGATTTTATATGCTAAGTTATAAATGATAAACGTTGTTAAAGCAGCAAAATAAGTTTGTGTTTGAAAGGAAAATAAATATTGTGTATATTTAATTTCCCCCCCAAAGAAAAAAGGGGGGGAAAGGTTTTTCCAGAAATTGTACATCTCCGACCACCACCGCCAACCCAAAACTGTGGGTAGAAATGAGAGGAGATGCGTTGTGTGAGGAGATTTCTTGTGTGAGGAGATGTGTTGCGTGTGTGTTGCAGGAAAGAGGAGGGAGGACTCTTGATGGAAAGAAGAAATTAACGAGCTATTTCTGTCTTCTTCTCCTTTTCTCTACTTCTGCTTCAGGCCCTCTCACTGCCCATTGTGGTGATTGTTCATGGCAACCAAGACAACAACGCTAAGGCCACCATCTTGTGGGACAATGCCTTTGCCGCAAAAGTAAGTGCTTGACGGTGGCTGAAATTCTGCTTCTCAAAGAATGAAAGATATGGAGTGCTAGTTGTTGGGGGCAGGGGCAGACCCTATAACATGGTGCTCCCTGACAAATGGTCCTGGCTAAGTGCAGGGAAATCTAGAAGTACTGTACACGGTGTGTGGTGGGATGGGATTTTTTTAAATCCTTGGATTCCCTTCTCATCTCGTGCAAATGGCGTTGGAACGGCTGCAGCACTGTTGCTTTCCCACAGTGCCAGGGTTAGATGAGAAGCCTGGTTCACGTGGGAGGAGCCATCGGAATGCTTCTCCCTCCACCCATTTCTTGAGTGGCAGTCAGACTTGGGAAGAGCCGCACTGTAGGACATCATAGGCGATCCCACCACACACGCCCAATGGGAGCATGCCAGACAATTTTGCTTGCCACAGAGACCTCCTTGTTGCTGCCTAAAAGTAGGGGTGTGGTTGGGCTGCAGTGGTGAGCTCCAGGACTTTGTTTTGTAACCTGATGTCATCAACTGGAACTTCTTCACCCTGAAGAGGAGACTGGTGGGAGAGCTGGAGGTGGCAAGAGACCCAAGATCAAGCTTAGGTAGCAGATGGGAGTTGATGGGCAGGGTGGACGCGAGGGGTACCTTGAGGAGGGGGTGGGTGGGTCTTCTCCTGTACAGCAGCGATGGTTTAGGAACACAGTTTGGAGTATGGTAGTTCTGAGAGAACCTGAATGTAAATGCTGTCTTTGGGGCCCCTGCTAGGACCCTGATTAAACGTCTTCTAGAACCAGAAGTTGTGCAGGTGTTTGTTTCATCCATTGCAACCACATTCCTAAGTCCATGCACAGAAAGTCAAATTGCTGTTGTTTACTATAGATGTCTTTTAAGCAATCCTTTCCATCGGGGGGGGGAGAGAAGAATTAGAGCGATGTTCATTTTATTTATTTGGCTGTGTGTGTAAACTGTTTTCCTCCCCAGTGGAGTCCCAAAACAGTTTACAGCATTCTCCCCTCTTTCGTTTTACCCTCACAACAACAACCCTGTGGTGTAGGTTAGGCTGAGAGTGACACCCGAAGTCACCCAGGGAGATTCCATGACAGAGTGAGGATTTGAATCTGGCTCTCCCAGATCTTAGTTGCAACGCTCAAGACTGCTGTGCTACGCTGGCACTGTGTCTATCCAAGTACAAACCTTGCCCCCTATTATTAGTCAACATACAACAGATACCGTGCACAGATGAATTATAACTTATCATAAATAATTTTATATATTTTGAAAAATATTATTACAATAATTTCTTCATACATATTAATCATCTTAGTCACAATATAGTTCATAATATAAGAGATCAAAATGTCAAATATCATCTCCATAGATTCTCAAAAGATATAGTACAACCTTATAATATATACTAGTCCTCCTCTGTAAAAAAGTTTCAAAAGGGAGGACTCCTTAAATTCTCTTTACATGTGCTCTGTCTTCCTCCAACAGAGGTCCAGATGTCCTTCTGTTTCAGAATCTTCCTCAGGGAGTTCAACAATAATTTTCAGCTCGAGGTTGCTAAATACCAAAGTTTTAATCCAAAATTCTCTATAAATGAACGCTGCACAAAGTTTTTTGATGAGCTACAAGCCTCCTCCAAATTGAAAAGCAAATTGAAAAGTAGGTATGCTGACTTATTAGTCAGCATACCTTCAGGTTCACAGTTTTTTCAGCACTTCAGGCCAGAAAGACTGTCTACCTTAATGCTTTGTATGTTGTCTCAGGTTTGCAGTCTCTCCCACAGCAAGATTTCAGGTTGCCACACCCCCGGTTGGGGCAGGGTTCCCCCAGTTTTGGGGGCTGCAAACCCCTCCAAACAGCCCTCTCCTGCGTTGATATCACAATGATGTCATGCGGAAGTGATGTCATCACACTGGGCATGTCACATGGCGATGCTCTAGCATTTTGGCCAAAATGCTAGAGCATCGCTGCGGAATGTGCCTGGCACAATGATGTCACTTCCTCATGATGTCATCATGCCGATGTCGCACACAGTGATGTTGCCCCCGCCCTCCCCACTTCCAGAAGGCTCCCTCTCGCACCCTGTTGGCCAGATAAGTAGACCTGACAACCCTAGCAAGAGGGTAACATAAGAATCTAATCAGACCTGGTCTCCATATGCAGCAGAATGAAAGTTAATTTAGAGGTGATAAAGTGGACAGTACCATTTCAGACTGTAAGTGGGAGAATAGTACTTTCAAACAGTTCCCTGTGTTGTTTAAAAAAACCTTCTTGTAAGCCAAAAATTAACCTACCTTGGGCAGTGGGGGGTGTCTAACTCATTTGTTTTCCCATTCGTCTAGTTCAAGGATCCCCAAGTCTTTTGAGCCTACAGGCAGCTTTGGAAGTCTGATACATGTGGTAGGTGCCACCACAAAATGGCTGCCACAGGAGACAAAGCCGCCCACAAAATGGCTGCTACAGTTTACTCGCAGTCACACTGCGAAAATCTTTATGCTATGGCGGCAGCTGCTGCCAAAGCAACATTTTTAAAAATCTTCACAGCTAATCAAATCTCCAGTGGCCAATCAGAAGACTTGCTGGGCAAAAGCTCTACCTGGCCCCACCCACTTTCTAAAAACACTTGATGGGCACCACATTAGGGACCCCTTGGTTTGGTTCTTTACTTGCAGCAAGGGTTTTTTTTACATATAGGAGTATTCAAAATGTGATTCTCTTACCAGCAGTCTGAACTGTCTACTATCATACAATTCTGCCCCATTATTCACACCTAATTCTGCTGCATAAGTAGACCAACATACAACAAATACCGTGCACAGATGATTATAACATATCATAAATAATTTTATATTTTTTGAAAAATATTATTACAATAATTTTTTTCATACATCTTAATCATCTTAATCACAATTCATAATGTAAGAGATCAAAATATCAAATATCATCTCCATAGAATCTCAAATATCATCTCCATAGAATCTCAAAAGATATTGTACGACCTTATAATTTATAATAGTCCTCCTCTGTTAAATAAAAGTTTCAAAAGGGAGG